GCAACACTTTTTGTCAATTACAGTTCTTTGTAGTACACTTTCTGTTGCCTTAGCCAGTCTCAGTTTAAATGCCTTGAGCAATAAAATCTACATTTCTATTGTAATACAAATGTGCAGGCTAAATCCCATCTTCAAGAAGATTTTTAGTAACTGATACCCTATCTAAATTACTAGTCTCATCCCACCGATAATACTTCTGCCATACCAAGTGCATCATTTGCTGTTACCAGAATTCTCTCTAGTTGCTGAGGTGTCTAGAATGGAATGGATAACAATTGATGAAGCTTGTACTGGTGTATATATATTAAAGCTGCCCCCTATATCCTTTTGCTTCTCCAACTTCCTTGCAAATTCCTTTCCTCCCTTCTATCTGTTCAATCCATATGCAACTCCAGGTCCTTCAAGGTGGTTTATCTCTTATGATCAGGAAATGATGATGATTATTATGAATATCCAAGCACAGAAGCTGTCAAGCTTGTGTCATCTTTTTAGAAACAAGGCTTCATATCTTTTGTGATTTTTGTACAATATGTAATTTTGTAGGCGCACAGTAATATCAGTAAACTCATGTTTTTAGGCATCATGGAAATGTTGGGAAAGAGAGGGAAACCTTAACAGAATGCTCCTAGGTCACCAGTCCTTATGATTTTTTTAAAGGTGAATTTCCTTTTCAAATGATGTTTCTGGATATTTCAGGTCTTACCCATACTATAGTCTCTCAATTTTGTAGCTGTCTGCTTTGGCTTCTGGGTCTACCATATTGTAAGAATTGGGCCATCACTAGTGTAAAACCAACCCCCCCCCCCTTTTTTTTTTTGCATCCTTTCTATGTAGTTAATCAATCTCCCTGAAATATATATGCCATTAACCTAAGAGGGAGCTATTCTGTTCTCAATTACACCATAAAGTAAACTACTTTGGCTGTTGTGCAATTACTCTGTAATTATATCAGTGTAACAGGACAATTCTCCTTTCAATTATTTTTTGGGTGTGGTTAAGCAATTTCCCTATCTTGTCTTCTACTGCTTATTTATTTCAAATTGGTGTAATCTGATTAACAATTTGCACATGATTTTACATGCTGATTTTTACATGCCTCTGTGCATGTGTTGTGTTGTCTATGGGCTTCCGAAAGTGGTTGTAAGGAAGCTTGGTTTTGTAGAACAACTGTCTCTGGTCTGTGAGGTGTAAATGACTTGAGCTATTATGCTAAAATGCTTAAGAGGTAAACCTTCATAATTCTCAGCAGCAAGGAACTGTGCATCTGAGTCAGTAAGCACATGTGGTAACTTTGTAACTTCAGACCAGCAGCTTTCCAATTAGGAGCTAATATTGAGTGCAGTGACCTGGCACATGGCCTTAATATTTATTTATTCAAACTTGTAAACCTATATCAAGAAACTTGCCTTTCTCTGATGGTATGGGAAAAAGAGGGAGAAAAAGATGCAGCCAATACTACAACAGTCAGCAGAATTGGAGGTGGAAGGGCAAATGGAAACAAAACTTTCTCTTGAATCTGACTTTGTAACAGGAACTTCGCTACTGAAAATTAAAGTTCAGAGAGCAGTGAGAAATAGCAAGGTTTGCCTAAAGGGAGTGATCAAGTTCTGGGGAAAGATGGACCGAGTTGCACCACACCTGGGTGCTGCTGATTTATTCTTGGAAGAGGTCAGAGGCAGGATTGTAGGAAAGAGATGAGGGAGTCTGGTTAAGTACCTAACCTTCTAATCACAGAGCATTTGCCTTCGGTAGAGACTCATGTATTATGTGAGTTAATACAGAACCAGGGTTTTAAAGTCGGTCTAAAAGTATGAAAAGTGATCTAAACTTGGCAGGTTTTTTCTAGGGCTGATTCTTATACATGGTAAAACATGGATGTGGTGTTGCTGCTGTTTTCCATTGCTGTCATGGGTGCAGAAACCCCAGCCCTTAGTAACAAACGTGGGGTGAACTGTGTTCTATAAAGAACCCATCCGGGTTTTCCGAGCCAGCAGGTTCAAGGCAAGATGACTGTCAGGCTGAGGGCTTTGCATTCAAAGCATGGGGCGGTGGATGCAGAGGGCTGTGATTCCACTTCTAGAGGTGCTTTTCTAGATGGGACTCGAGGTGTGGGCCTACCTAGAAGGCCCTTCATGAAGAACAGGTGGGGCCTTGATTCTCTACACCTAGGTCGCTATCCTTCCTTCTACAGGAACCTCTGCTGGCCCATCTTCAAGCCTTACCTGTGAGGCTGACTTTGGTGTAACCACTGTTCTTTATCCCTGCTTTTTATAGAGCCCCCTCTTCTTTTGGAGGGAGTGGTTTTGTTTCTTTGGTTGCCTGTTTTTAATGAAGTCAGTTCTCCCGAGCTGCCCCCTCAGTTTTCACCTGTCTTGAAAAGGAGGTGGCTGGGGTAATGCTGGCAGGGGGCTGATCTTCCCAGCCCTTGTGAAAGGACTCCTGAAGCGCTACGCGTATCATGGGTCCCGTGCCGGGATGGGGCTGGACCAGGTGCCCGCGGGTGGGTCCCTTCCAGCCCGGTTTCCCCCAACACGGGATAAAATGCCAGCGCCCCTTCGCATTTGGGAAACCAGTTGCGACCGAGCCCTGGCAGCGCCCGTCCGCCGGCCCCCAGCCACCTTCCCTCACGCGTGGGGGGACGCTGCGGCCAACTCTCCCTCCCCGCATCACTTTGTCCCCCGGGTGGAGGGGAAAGGCCGGGTGGGGGGAGGAGCGCGAGCCCCGGAGCCGGAGCGCGGTGCTCTGCTCCCCGCCCGGGGGGTCGGCGGA